ACGATATACAGGATTACCCGCCATAGAGCTTTCCGAGATATTTATTTTCCATGCGCTTCATTTGCATGTTCCAACGCAACTGCAAATCTAGGAGGAGAGAGAGAAGGAATGATTTTAATCAAGCTCTGATATTTTCAGAGATCAGATCAGACACAGAGTGATACCATGGGGTGGCGAAAAAGATGTTATTAAAATATAGTGATAAGGTGTTTTCATTCATTTGGAAAAGTTTATGGATATGCTAACCTGTCGATAGATAGATAGATAGATAGATAGATAGATAGATAGATAGATAGATAGATATGAACCTAGGGAGAGGTATGAACAAATTAAGATAGACATGTCATAGGATTGAACATTGCATAGTGATTGTCAGTTTCACATCTCAATGCGACCATAAGACCAAGATAGATAGATAGATAGATAGATAGATAGATAGATAGATAGATATGAAAAGTCAGTGATAGATCTAAAGTGAATGAGATAGATAAATACATAGATATATACATAGATAGAACTAAGTGAATGAGATAGATCTAAAAAGAATAGATAGATAGATAGATAGATAGATAGATAGATAGATAGTGTATTTGCAAGATCGCCTGAGGCTGAAAGTTACAGTCGCCATGTAGTGTTGTTTTCTATGTCCATACTGTTTATAAACACTTTTTCTTGGATACTGGGAACTCTCCCTCTATAAATATGGCAAAACTTAAACAATATAATTATAGCTATCCATCTAGCTAGCTAACAAAAAGATAGATAGATAGATAGATAGATAGATAGATAGATAGATAGATAGATAGGGAGACGTATAAACAAAATTGAGATAGACATGTCACAGGATTGAACATTACATAGTGATTTTCAGTTTCACATCTCAATGCGACCATAAGACCAAGATAGATAGATAGATAGATAGATAGATAGATAGATAGATAGAAACAAACTGCGAGACAGTACTGCACATAGTTAAATTTGAAAAGAAAACCTCGGAGCGAAATCCATACTGGTTATCACTCAGGAGGTTGCTCCTGTTGAAGCGTTCAACGGCCCTGATGTTGATTATAGATTTGAAGAGTTTGTTAATGACACAAAGGAGGCTAATGGGTCGATATTGCGACAGACATGAATATTCGCCCGCATCCTTAAAAACAGAGTACACAGTTGACACCTTCCAACGATTTGGGAAACACTTTCCTTCAGACAGTTTTTGTCATAATTAGAAATAATTCTACTTTGATATTCTTAAGAACACCCATTGGGAATTTACCCAGACCAGTGGCCTTTTCAGATTCAAGGCTTTTGATGAGTCTATAAACTTCAAGCGCCATGAATTGGGCGTCGTTGTTTTTCGCATGGATGTTCAGGTAGCTTCATGGTTATTGGTGCGAAAAGTGGAATCGGTGAGCCGAGTTGAAATTCTGGTTGAGTCTGATACGTTCACTTTGCACTAACACCCTTGGAAAAGGCATGAATTTATTTCTTCATTCAATAAGATAAACTGGACTCTCTAGCCTTAGGCATCAACCAGTTTCGATGAAAAACAACCCGAAATTCCAAACCATGAAGAAAGCAACGGGAAATCACTCCACTCTCTTCCCCAAAGATCATCTCGATTCACAGATAATAAAGAAAAGGAAACTATGGTTAGCCATGATCGACTACGTCCTCAAGAGAAATAGCATAAAAAAATAGTTTGAATCAATTGATTGGTGTACATGACTACCTTCCAGTCTCTCTATACAGTATGTATCATCTTCTTTGGATAAAGACTCGTTTTTGGTACTGTTAGTAGCAGTTCATTTTACTTACAACTCGATCTTTTCTGTGGAAGCTACACGTCAAAACGATTAACATAATCTTCTACAAATTATTTTCAACATTTGATTTGGATATTTTATGCGTGTTTGCTATCTCCCCACATGATAGCATCTTTATTTGATAGCTATCAACTTCAATGTATCTACTCGAGTGTATAGCATCATTTAGTAAGAAATCGCCTACACGATACTTCCCAAACCACTTTAGACATGCTTGATCATTCGCAGTACCTTCTCCATATACTCCACAAATCTTTATTGCATTGTTATCGCAAGAGGCAGTTGAAATTTCTGGGGAATATAATGAGAAAGGAGGATTTGGAAAATATGATACTCACAGGACAGATTGAGGGGTAGCTAAACACAGGAAAACAGCGCGTAACATACTCTATGGGCTTGAGTAAATGGATGGCAGAACAGGGTTTGAAAAAAATGGCAAAAGGACAAAATTCATTAAAAGTTACAAGGAACCAGAAGATGTGGAGGGTTATGATCTCCTACGTCCTGAAGTGACAGGGCACATAAAGAAGAACCTTTCTTACGCAAGTTCAATCGAGATATATATCGAGAATGTTGGGGTTTTTTTTCTATCATCAGAATCACTAATAACATAGACGCTCGATTTGATAATTGAAAATGCCAAAGTGATATGACAGCTGTCATAATACAATGATAAGTAATTATTTTGAATGAAATTTGATAAAACTGAAACCTCCTAATGCCATCTAATGTCAAAAACAAATTTTTTTCCAAACCCAATAGCTACGTTAACAAGGTTGTCTCGTTAGAACAATTACGATTGAGTAACGAGTTCGATCCTCACTGGGTGCCCGATATTTTCGGCCTGTTGCCACATTTAAGCTACGGTTTGAAAATCAGCATAATCTAGAAGAGATTAGCTTTAGTAAAACGAAGTATTCTTGTTTAGAAAATGCAGAAGAAATCAACGACTGGTAAGCGATTTCTAAGGACTTACAAGGAAAACGTCAACTTGAGGTAGGCCCGAAAACGCACCGGTCAAAGTGTTGTGACATAAGCAAAAAAAAGTTAGAGATATTAGTCCGAAAAAACTGTTGTATAAATTAAGTTTGACTCGATTTTCATTGCAATAAAATGTTAACGTCATGCCTGAAGGTAATGTATTTTAGCTTTAAATTTAAATGCTTGCAAATGTTTCTGTGTGTACGCATGCGTACGCTCGCGTGCGTATGCGCGTAAATTCGTTTATTGTTCTTCAATAAAGTTAAGATGTGCATTTTGGCGCCATTTCTTATGCTGAAAAGCCGACAGACAAAATTAATTAAAACAGATTTTGTGTTCGATGCCGAGGGAGAAGAAAATCATTTGGTCGCCTGTTGTTTGTCAGTGCGTGCGTTTTTATATGACCGCTTATTTTCTTTTTTACGCTTACAGCGAAATAAATAAATTAAAAAAATACCTACGATTTCAGCCTCAGAAGAGCAGCGCGCGAGCCAAGCATGGGTATTTGGTAATATAGATGGCGGAGAAACAAAAATTCGGAATGTTTAGTTTACATCCGTTTCTTTGTGTTTTTGTTCGTTACCCGTGCTTGAACAAGGAAAGGGCAGTTGTAAACAAAATCGCGTTGAACATGTTTTAATTAACTTTTAGCCTTGTCTTACTTTGTATATATTTTCTTTTTCTTTTTTTTTTTTTTTTTTTTTACAAAGCGCGAGCCGACTGTTGATTTTAACCATCAGACGTTCATGATATCTTGTCAGTCATCTACAAAAGGTACGCTCAAATCAACATCAGCAACGGTACATAATAACAGTACTTAAGTTATTATCCATAATTATATATAAATTATTCTTTGATACGGTCTTTTTCTAATGCGAAAATATCGCTTGATGTTAAGTTCGTAAAATGTCTATTCTGTAATTTGGAGAAAAATTATTGAAAGAGTTGTCTGCATTGCAAACGTTGTTCGCGTTAGTGATCTCATTGTTTTTTGCTTGGGGTTTTGTGGAGGATCACAACGTTTCGAACAATCCGTTCTAGACTTCATCAGTTTTTACAATCAATATGGAAGATAACTTTTGTAATTTTGAGATATGTCATTAATTGCAAGAATTGTTTGTGTGAATGGTCTCATTCTTTTTGGTTGTCGTTTTTTTTTTTTTTTTGGAGGGGGTTACAACGTTACCACAGATCTATTCTAATCAACAGTTTTACAATCAATATGGAAAACACCTTTTTGAAATTTTGAGATGATTTATTAATTACAAGGGTTGATAGATCTAGCAATCTCATTATTTTTGATTTTCGGTTTTATGAGGACCACGACGTTTCAGTCGATCTTTTCTAGTCTTCTTCAGTTTTACAAGTATGGAAGATACGTTTTGTAATTTTGAGATGAGTACTTGTTTGTTTGGACATGCGAACACATTCTTTTAGTTTGGAATTTGGAGTCTTCCGCCTGTCCGTTCTTCACCTTTTTCGAACATGTAATATTTGAACTGAATAATTGGTGGCATTGCAGTGGCATTGCACTCTGTGAAAAATAGATATTTCGCATCTGGAGCGGGGAATAAAAAATTATGCTTTTTTTTTTCTTCATTTTTTTTTTTTTTTGTCTGTTTATTTATTTTTTATTTTTTGTCAGTGCGCCTGCCGTGGCAAATAATCAGGTAACAACCAACCTTGTTAACAAAATAATAAATGGAACCGCGTGCTATTGCCTGTATTGTATTTTTTTGTTTGTTTGTTTTTTGTTTTTTTGTTTGTTTTTTTGTTTTTTGTCCCAACAGTTACTCAAGGTTGTTTAATTCATTCATTCATTACGTTTCTACAATTTATCAACCCTTTTCTGGTTATTTAAAGCCAGAAAATATTTTTAGATTGCAAGAATTATTTTTTAGATAATAATGATTTAGTGAGACAAGTCTTACTAATTAACCCATAGATGGGGAGAAAAGAAGTGGATTCATACCTTTCCCAAGGGTATTTGCACATAAGTGAATATAACGAATCCAACTGGATTTGGAACTTTCCGATTAACAATTCGGATCCATTATTCATTACATCGATCCCATATCCAAGCTTACAGCACCTGTTATTCCCAAGCGGTTACCCATCTAGGTTGTGACTAGGTTTGACGTTACTTAACTTCAGTGATCGTATGGCAACCGGTGTTTCAACGTGATATGGCCGTAAGCCTTTCAAGGTAGAGGCTTATTGAATTAAGGTGTTGTAAGTGTGCAAAGAGGAGATGATAACAAGTACATATTATGAAGATATGTAAGATATTTAAAGTATGACCCGATGCTTCAAGAGTTTAAGATCGTAGTGATCAGGGAAATATCTTTATGGGAGTTTGTTTCACAAAGGGAAGAAGCTGTCTGAGTGAAATTTGTTTCTTACCAATAATGTTGAAAATAAATCACCTAAAAGGCCGCGTCAACGCTTTTGAACTCTATCATGTCTGGAAAGGCTTTTTAATTCTATTATGTCTGGACAGGCATTTGAACTCTATCATGTCTGAACAGGCTTTTGGCCTTGTCAAGCTTTTTGACGGTCAGTGTTCATCGAGTAAGACAAACGGAATACTGTCACTGTCTTTGCAGTAAAGTCTACTTGATAAATTTGTTACCTACCTTTGAAATCTCTCACAATCACGGACTTAACATTCCACTTTACAAACAACAAAAATTCAACCAGAAAGAGACGGTTATCAATACTTTCAAATAAAATCAATAAATGTTATTTTTAATAATAAATTCTTCTTTCTCGCCAGCTCCAAGAACATACTGAATTCCACTAACTGAATGGTGAAATTTATTTTGACCTTGTGAACGTGTGTCTGTGATATCGATCTCTCCGAGTAGACAAGGGACTCTCCAAGACAACGGGAAATGTCCTTTATCTTGTACTATTTTTTAGTGTATTTGTTGGCAATTTTATTAATTACAGTCTAGCTAGTCTTCTCCAGGGAGTTTTATTGCCTACTATTGTCTATTACGAGGAGTGGTTTTCTTCTATCTATGTCTATAATTATAACACACACACACACACATATATATATATATATATATATATATATATATATATATATATATATATACATATATATATTTTTCATTAAAAACGACAAGGTACTACGGTTAAGCTTTTTATTTAATTTTCATGTGTTCTAACAAGAGCTTTCTTTTTCTGGACAAAGGGTGTGTAAGAACTGTCCAAATGTTTTATATTTCCGACCGCTTTCGGCTATACCTTTAGCCATTATCAAGGATGATTCGATTTTTCAGCTTAATTGAGTGTGTGCGTCCTGTGTATGTCTTAGTGTGTGGTAGGGATGTTTTTAATTTCCGAATACGGTTAGCACATTGTGGCTTTGTTCGAAGTTAATATTGTTAAGAGTTGGCTTTTTCATTTTTATTATTAAAGCTTCCATTATTTTTAGTCTTTTTTGCAGGCGGATGCAGTTAATATATTTGTGTTTTCTACTAGTATGTTTCTAATGGAGTCTGGTAAATTTGTGTGTGTGTTTAAATGGGTTCTAATGGAACTGTGATCAGATAGGTGTAATGTAAGACGTCAGGATAAGCATGTAGTTGTGTAACCGATGTAATTATTTATGAGTCCGGTTTGATCAGAAACACAGTTCCTTAAGAGGCATTTGAACTCAGATAATGTTCGTTCTTTGCAACTTTGACTTCGTTGGTGTGTTGTTATTTTTGAGGATAAGGTTGGCTGTCTTAAATTTTTTATAATAGATAATTAATTAGATTTTTTTTTATTCGGGTCAATTGGAGTAGTATATTTCTTTATAATATGCCTTAGAGAAGATTCATCTTGTTTGTAATTAATATGCATCTGGTTTTTGTAATAAATGTGTATGTGATTTTTGGCTGTGTGTTCACTATCGTTATTACATGCTTTGGAGAGAAATAGTCTAATTTCGTGGTCTATAAGGTGGTTAGGGAAGCCGTTGTTGATTAGTGTTTGTTTAACATTATTGTTCTTTGAGGAAAAGTAGTCGAGAGGATGAATTCTGGTGTGCTCTATTTAGAAAGTTTTTTATTACTGCTATTTTGTACCTAAGTGGACATTCGTTTTTGAAGTTAAGGTGGCACGAGTTTTTGCTGGTGTTTTTTTTTTTTTTTTTTTGTATAATGATGTAATGAAAGTGTTATTGCTGTATTGAACGAAGACATCTAAGAATGGAAGTTTGTTTTTTTTGGCTAAGTTCATAGGTAAAGTTAAGGGCGGAGTTTTTCTCAAATGTGGTCTTAAGTGTATCTATTTCTTTAATGTTATTTGCTAAAATAAAAATATCGTCTGCGTAGCGAACATAGATTTTCGGTTTGCGGACCTGCGTAAATATCGTATTTTCTACTAATAGTTAAAAATGCATGGACCGAGTGGATTTCCCATACTAACACCATTAGTTTGGGTGTAAATATTGCCATTATGGTCATAGAATGGGACTTTGGTTGTGCATGCGTGTAGTAATTTTTTTAGTATCGATGGTTTGATGGATGGCGGAGGGATAGAATTATTAGTATATACAGAATTGAGGATAATGTCAATAGTTTGGTCGACGGGGACGTTTGTAAATAAGTTTTCGACGTCAAGTGACGCTATTATACCTTGGTTTGTTATTTTTTCTTTTCTTTAGTTTTTAAAATTTGAAGGAATTCGTGGGTGGATGTGATGCTGTAATTGGTAGGTAGATATGGAGTGATGATGTCGTTCAAGAATTTTGATAGTTCGTAGATAGGTGTTGGTATCTGGGAAATAATTGGTCGTAGCTGGTATCCCGGTTTATGGGGGTTTTATGTTTATAATCTCCAACTATTTTTTCAATATTTAAGGAACCGACTTCCGCGTTGCGAGCTGTTATTAGTTTGTTGACGGGCCTTTTTAAAGTCTCAGTGGGATTTCTTTTCAGTTTGGTGAATTTAGTTCGGTCATCGACAATATTTTTTAATTTTTGGTGGTAATCGGCTTTATCCAGAATGACGTATGTGTTAGCTTTATCAGCTCGTCTGATGACAATGTCGGGGTTGTTTTTTAACTCTTTAGCGGCCTTTTTTAATTTTGGTGTTAAGATATTACTATGATTGTTGCCAGGGGATCGGTTCTTCAGCTTTGAGTAGGTCTCTTAGGTCTGGGTGAACTGCTATGTCTCCACGCGTAGCAAGTTGGGCTAGTGATTGGTATAGAATTTTAATTTCGGTTGTCTTGGTGATAAGGTCAAACTTAAGTTGGATGTGGCAGTTTGGCCCTAAGTTTAGAAATTCTTTTTGGTCATCTGTTAATTTGTGATTGGATAAATTTATATATTTATCTTCACTGTTGGGTGGTAAAATATTTCCTTGGTATAATTTACAAAGTTTTTTAGTAATTATTTGTCTGTGTGTGAGTTGGTGCTCGCTGATACTAAGGTTGAGGTGGTACAATGCTTCATTATATTCCAGTTCGGTCAAGGTGTTTTTAGTGGTGTTTGTGTATTTCGTTGTTTAAATGTTGGATGTCATTTTGAGCTATATATATATTCTTATAATATTTTTATTATAATATATTACAATAAAAACATTTTGCATCGCTACACAAAAACTTTCATGTTTCAGAACTATAATGGTCTTTCTTCGAGCGATGTTAGATAACTTGTGATAAAAAGGGTTTATTTGGGAAATTTGAAAACATATCATCACCACTTTAGACAGTTTTAAAATAGGAATTAAAAAAATATACTTGTGGATATGTCTACATTAACCAATTAAAAGTCAGATCAATAGAAAAATGAAAAATAAGGTCAGGAGTTAGAGGAAAGTAGGTTATTAATTCATGTGAAGTTAAAGAGACTCTCTAGACATGTCAGCGACAAAAATATTGTATATGTAACGAAGTATAGAGATCAGATTTGTGGAGGTAGTCACAAAGTTACCATGAACAAAAATAAAAAAAATTATACGAAGGAATTTTCTTAAAGGGGCCAATAGGTAAAGTTTTTAAAAATGGAACATCTATATTCGATGCTAATTTTATTGAATGGTCGGTAAAACATCGCAATATTAAAGTTGAAAAAAATCAAATATATATATATATATATATATATATATATATATATATATATATATATATATATATATATATATAAAAGGAAGAGATTATAATAGTTCCAACGAGAGAAAAGTGTGTATTTAAAAGAAAAGAGAAACCGGAAACGTTTTTGGTTGTAATGTGGATTTTTTAAAAATATATTATGCTTTATTTTCAATAATTTTGCTACACGTGTTTCCGGTCCCGCGATATATACATATATATATATATATATATAGATAGATAGATAGATAGATAGATAGATAGATAGATAGATATGAAGAAATATGCTCTTAAGGTGTGCTATATTTATGGGATAAATTGCCCAATATCTGACATAGAGAGTATGTAAATATGAAAGTGAACATTGAAGTCAACAATCGGAGGCAATCATCAGGCCACATGCGTTGTGTTTTTTTCTCGACCACTTATATTATGGGTCAGTGGTGTATTATGGGTAGTCTATTGCATTGTGGGTAGTCTATTCTAACGGTTATTTTGGCGGGAGTTCTTTGTTAATTTGTTTATTATACACTTTATTTATTCATTTGGATTAATTTATTTTATTTATTTTTGCTTATTTATTTTTATTTTATATAATTATGTTTCTTTTCAGTTTTCGATTTTTAAGTAACGTAGTAAAAATGTATTTTCGTAACCTGATGACTGCGTTTAGCATGAAACAGTCTGTCGCCTCTAAGTGTTGACTTTAATGTTCACTTATATATATATATATATATATATATATATATATATATATATCATCCTGTGTAAGACGTTAAACTACATCCGCGTCCTGGGTAAGACGATAAACTACGTCCAGCAGTAAGGCCTCAGATCAGGAGGTTTTGAGGAGCGTGGAACCACCTTTTTATTTGCTGGTATGCCCAGGTCTACTCTGACTCGGGGTGGTAGCACCTGTTAGGGTCCTAGCTATGGGCAAATAGTTAACTATTACCAGCAATAATTTTTTCCAAAAAATTATTACCAGCAATAGAATTTTGAAGGAAAATATTACCAGAAACAGATTTTTGACAAAACAAAATATTACCACCAATAAAAGATCTTGTCGGCATTAAATAACCCATTGAGGTTGATATGCCGTA